AAAAAATGCTCAATATCACTAATTATCAGAGAAATGCAAATCAAAACTACAATGAGGTATCACCTCACACCAGACAGAATGGCCGTCATTCAAAAGTCCACAAATGACAATGCTGGAGAGGCTGTGGAGAAAAGGGAACCCTCCTACACTGCTGCTGGGAATGCAGTTTGGTTGCAGCCACTGTGGAAAACGGTATGGAGATTCCTCAAAAGACTAGGAACAGACTTACCATATGACCCAGGAATCCTGCTCCTGGGCATACATCCAGAAGGAACCCTACTTCAGGATGACACGTGCACCCCAATATTTATAGCAGCATTATTTACAATAGCCAAGACATGGAAACAGCCTAAATGTCCATCAACAGATGACTGGATAAAGAAGATGTGGTATATTTATACAATGGAATAGTATTCAGCCATAAAAACCAACAACATAGTGCCATTTACAGCAACATGGATGTTCCTGGAGAATGTCATTCTAAGTGAAGTAAGCCAGAAAGAGAAAGAAAAATACCATATGAGATCGCTCATATGCAGAATCTAAATAAATAAATAAATAAATAAATACATACATACATACATACATACAAAACAGATACAGACTCATAGACATAGAATACAAACTTGTGGTTGCCAAGCGGGCAGGGGGTGGGAAGGGACAGATTGGGATTTCAAAATGTAGAATAGATGAACAAGATTATATTGTATAGCACAGAGGAATACATACAAGATCTTATGGTAGCTCACAGTGAAAAAAAAAAGGGACAATGAATGTATGTTCATGTATAACTGAAAAATTGTGCTCTACACTGGAATTTGACACAACATTGTAAAATGACTATAACTCAATTAAAAAAATGTTAAAAAAAACAATGACCTCTACATTGCTAAATTCAAAAGTAAATTCATGGTCCTCATCTTACTATCAGCAATATTTGAAACAGTTGATCCTTTCATACTCACTGAAGCATTTTCTTCACTTGGCTTCCAAATTACCATACTCACTTGGTTTTCCTCCCACCTCACTGGCTGACTACCTTCCTGGTTCCTCCTTCATCTCCTTAACATGAAATTATCTATTCTCCCATTGTGATCTCTGCTGAGCTCATGGATTTAAATACCATTTATATGCCAAGAATTCACAAACACACACCTCTAGTTCAAGATCAATGTACACACCTTCTCCTGGATGTCTAAAAGGCATCTCAAACTTAACACATCTAAAACTGAGCTCCAGATCATCTCCCACCAAACTTCCTACTACTTTGTCCTCATCTCAGTTAATGACAATTCAACTCCCTCAGTAATTCAGGCCAAAAATCCTACAGTTACTGCTTCCTTCTCTTCCTTACTCTCTGTATTCAATCTACCAGCAAATCCTGTCAGCTCTCCTGACAATACATATCGATAATCTGGCTTCTTACTTTCCTTCCTATTCTTCGTTCCCTTTCCATTTTTTCTTCCCTTCCCTACTCCTCCCAACACAGAGATGTCAGGAAAGCAAGGAGGGTGACAGGGTTTTGTGCGTCATCATCTGTGGCAATGTGCATGCTATCCAAGGAAATGGGATGATGCAAGAGAGGGGGTTGCCTCGTGGAGGTGGCAGCATGCCTCAGCTGCCAAGAAAATGGGCAGTGGGAGTAGGAACAAAGCGGCAGATAACAGAAGCAGCCTGAGTGGTTAGGAAAGTGATTATACCAAATATATTAATTGATGGAGCAAATGATTAATTATATCTAAAATAATTGGAGCAAGGTTCCTCACTGTCTGAGAAAGGATTTACAAACATGAAAAGGGAAGAGAATAAAAGAATTCTAAGACATTGGATTGGAATTAGAAATATTAACATGAACACATTTTAAAAAACATACATGAACAGAAAGAACTATAGATACCTGTAAATGTGTGTACACATATACATACATGTATTTCCTAGTTCTGTCTGCTAAAAGGTCCTAAAAGGGATGATATCCCAGCAGCACTGAAAATTCTATGTGTCCAGGTCTTAGATACTAAATACCATCCTCTATTAAATGGAAGTCCACTAAAGGGCTCCTTAGAAAAATGGCTGATTTCCGGGCTGAGGCAGGGAAAGTGCAAAGCAGGCCTGGGAAAGTCTTTCTGCATCAGAAAATAAGGAAATTCTCAGAGAATGATGGAAACATATCAAAAGAACAAAGGAGCTGATGTGAATGGACTCCCACTGGTCAATTCTGGGAAAATCTGAGGATCAAAATAAAGCCGGATTACAACCCAGTAAATCAAACAGGAATTAATGAGACCATAGTGAAATAAACAAACAAACTGAGAAAGCTCTTTCTTACAGTATAAGGTCAAGTTATAAATGCAGACAGAATGTTAAGTGATAAGAACCCACTCGGCATTAGAGTGATAGTTGACATATGTTGGAGCTATTAATGGAGGCTAGGGCTGGTGTGTGGAGGTTTAACAAAGAATAGGATATCGGTGGCATGTCAGATTATCTCCCTCAAAATACTAATCAAATGAAAAAGGGGAAATAGTGATTCTACAGTGGAGAAATCTGGCATATACTAACTTCACCATATGATCTAGGTAACATCACCTTGGTCAACACAGTGTGCCTCCAAATGTAATGCACTGAGAAGAACAGAGCATCATTTCTCTAGCATTCCCGCCACAGATGCACGGCCTGATTCTGGTCATGAGAAAATAGGGGAGAGACCTAGGTTTAGGGTCATCTTACAGAATAAAAGACCTATACTCTTTAAGATTGCTGAAGATACCAGAAACAGAAGACTAAGGACTCGCTCCAGATTGAAGGACACTAAGGAGACATAAGGTGTGTTTGCAGGTAGGGTCCTAAACTGGAAAGGAAAAAGGACATTATTAAGACATAAGGCAAAAACTGAATAGTGTCTATGAACTGGGTGGTAATGTACCAGCATTCATTTCCTGAGTGGGAGGAATGTATGGCAGTAAAATAGGAGAGTATCCTTGTCTTGTAGGGAGGAGGTACAAACTGTAATAAAGAGTAATGAGGTAACAACACATTTCTTTCTCTTTTTCTCTCTCAAAAGAGAGTGAAATGGAGCAAATATAGTAAAATGTAACAATTAAGGGAATCTATGTGATGGGCATGCAACAGTTCTTTGTACTGTGCTTATAACTATTCTGTAGGTTTGAAACTATTTCAAAATTTAAAATTAAATAGAATTTGAATAAAAACAAACATGTGTATACATATGCCTATGAGTATGTATGTGTATATACCCATAACCAACCACTCTATTACTTCCACTGCTCCCATTATAAATCACTTGGATTGCTCCAGTCTCCCTACCTCTGCCCTTACCATTCTTTTCAGTCTGTTTTCAACAAAGCAGCTAGAGTGAGCCTATGAAGACATGGGATGTTATAGGGAACCAGGATTTTCACAGTAGGAAAAGAGAAATAAGAGTATATAATGCAAGAAGGTGAGAAAGAACCTGTGATACTGGCTTTAAACTGCAGGTATTAGTACAAATTCATGCTTTTTAAAGATACATACTCCCTTGTTCTTAGGAAATATATGGTGAAGTGTTTAGGAGTTTCATATTATGTGCAGCCTACTTTCAGACAGTGAAAGAAGAGGGAAGTGTGGGTAATACTGAGAGAAAAAGTCAGTACAGCAGGATGTTAACAGTTGGTAAATCTAGATAAGAGAAAAAGAG